CTTGCAATGCAAATCGCATGAGCACATTGCACAGTTCAAGTGTTGATTGAAGAGATGATCTGCAGGTATGTTTCGTGCTACTCAACCGCCGAGTCCGAACAATGTAATTATGCCTACCCATTTATCTGTGTAGATACTAGATATGCATGCAAGCAGTGTGCATGCCGCCGTCAGCTTAATCGTTCGGGAGCCATAATGATGCGGCGGCTGGCCATCGCGCCGGTGGCCGCCCCCTCATCTGGGCGCCGCCATTCTGATGGATGGTGGCAGGTGGTGGTTTGCATGGCCACTGGCGCGGCGCGGCGCGGCGGGCCGGCCCTCTCTCACGGCCGGCCCTGCACACTGCACAGTGCACGCTGAAGGTCACAGCCGGGCCGGCGGGCTGCAGCGGGACATGCCGAGCGCAGTGACAAGGCACCGACATGCTCCTGACGCGGCGCGGAAAAGCGCTGCGTCACCGGCAAAGAGGATGGTAAAAGGGGGCCTGCGTCACTCAGTACTGAGTGTGGAGATGTTTGCGTCATCTGTGACTGCAGTGTGGTGACATTTGCGTCATTGGTGACGCTGCGTTGTGACTTTTGCGTCAAATAAACGTCAACAACGCGTCGATGACTGCGCAGCTGTGGCTATCACAGAGAGGTTAGCCGGCTGCTTTGTCTAAGAACTGGGAGCGGCGGCAAAAGCACAGGTGGCAGGCAGGCGGCAACGGCGTATTCATGGCGTGTAAATACTGCAGTGTATGACTATTTGCAGGATAATTACCTCGCACTTCTGGTGTTACTGTGACTCATTTCCATAAACGCCTGGCTTGTTCATGACTTTCTGGAATTGTAATTACTGAATGGAGAACCATTGGCTTTGCACGCCTTCGGTCCACTTTGAAACTGCTGAGGGACACCATGGTGGAGTATGCAATATGCATGCATAGTAACGTTATTGTGACGACTTTCTTTGCAAATCATTTCTTTGAAAATCATTCTAAATGTAATAAACAGTAAGACGTCTTTCGGGAGGCGATTAAGGAGCGAGCGAGCGAGAGAGAGACAGAGAGAGAGAGAGAGAGAGAGAGAGAGAGAGAGAGAGAGAGAGAGAGAGAGAGAGAGAGAGAGAGAGAGGAGAGAGAGAGAGAGAGAGAGAGAGAGAGAGAGAGAGAGAGAGAGAGAGAGAGAGGAGAGAGAGAGAGAGAGAGAGAGAGAGACGTGCACGATGCGGAAGGGCGAACTGGTACTTCCAGCTGGCTTATGCACGGCACGGTCTCGTGCACGGCATTCTACTAATCGGTCACTAACGGTGTGCCAAATTTGAAGGCAATCGATCTAGCCGTACTCGAGATCTGGAAGCGTCGCCCATGCACTTGCGCACGTGCAGTAGGACAGGACACTGACCGTAACATATGGGAATGCATTGCGTGCTGGGTCCCTGCCGGCACGTCAAGTTTCACAAAATCGCCACAGTGATTGCCGAGTTATTATAATGGGAACAAATTTGACACCCCTTCATTTTGCATTTTGTGCGTGCATTGGAGGTGACCCCCATGTATCGAGAGCATCCGATGATTGAAAGAAGAGATGCAACTACCCCACAAAAATAACCGCAAGTCAATCGCCCCAGCGGTCGCCGAGATATAGGCCTTTCAAAATCCTTACTCCAGCAGAACAGCCTGAACGCCCTTAACTTTTCACGTGGCACGTGCCACGACGGTCACCTAAATGCTTCAACACTAGTCGGTTACGGGGTAGAAGGGGTAGGTCTATCTAACAAAAAAGACCACAGGTCAATCGGCCCAACGGTTGCTGAGTTATGAGCCTCTCAAAAGCATTACAGGTCGGGTCGGGCCGCTCACACTTAAAAAAAACTGGATTATTCTTATTTCTTCGTGATAAAACAAAGTTAAGATTGTTGAGAAGACGTCTGTTTGAAAACACCATTTTAAAAGCATTTCATTTTGCGTTAGGTAGCCCCTTTCGCTTTTATGAAGACCCTTTGAGAGACGTAAGAATGAGAGGATAAGAAAGAGATAGCGTAGACTGAGCCGACAATCTGGCTGGCGCACTGCAACCGATGAACACATTTCCGTTGGAACCACTGCGCTACAGTGCACCACGCCATCCAGCCGCACAAACAATAATCGAGGAGAGGCATTCCATACCACGCTGCCACGGGTCGACCACGGACCTCTTGTCGGACCTCTTGTATTTTGATGACTGTCGATTCGAAACAAAGAAGCGTAATAAACAAGCATGGCCTGGTCTTGAACATGAAAAGGACGGATGCACCAACAGTTCACAAGACTACTAAAATTGATACTTTTTATCAACTAAAAATTCCTGAAATCCTAGCAGGTGTTCACCGCCCGCACCATTGCGATTATGAAAAGACACCCGTAGTTTTCAGTTAGTTTTCGCCAGGGCTGCGGAGTCGGATTCGGAGTCGGAGTCGGAGTCGGTCGGAGTCGACAGTTGTGACCGGAGTTGGAGTCGGAGTCGGAGTCGAATTTAGAAACCCGAGCCGGAGTCGGAGTCGGAGTCACCGAAAATCTGTCGACTCCGCAGCCCTGCTAGGTCCGCAGAGTCGGAGTCGGGAGTTGGAGTCGGTCGGAGTCGACAATTCTGCCCGGAGTCGGAGTCGGAGTCGGAGCTGGTTTTTGAAAGCCGGAGTCGGAGTCGGAGTCGGAGTCGCCGAAAATCCATCGACTCCGCAGCCCTGGTTTTCGCTCTACTGCACCATCATTGACCGTTCACCCGGTGACCGCGGTCGGCGGGCGGGAGGCGTTTGTCCGTCATCGCTCCCCGGATTCCTCCCGACCGCCCAGCCCGCGCAAACACCATCCATTGTCCTCGGGGTGGCAGGAGGCCGCGCGTCGGGCCCATTCCGGTGCCACGGCGGCGCGCGGACAGACGCGCCACCACTCGCCGCGCTGACAGCAATCGGCGCCAATCTTGGCGCAGCGCGCGCCGGCGCGCGTTTGCGCGCCGCGCCGTCGCGTGCCTCGACGGCACCGACGCGCCGACCTGGCTTCCGGCCAGCGACGGCGACGACGGAAAGTGGGAACTACGCGCTACTCAAAACGCTTTTCGTGGCCAGCACCGCCTCCGTTGTGTGCTGGTGAGTAGCCTGGCCCAGTTGGCGACCAATGCGAGATTCGCGGAAACATCTGCTTCTATTGTGTGCCATCTGATGTCGCTATGTGGGGGAAACTTCATGAGGGTACTGGAGGCTGCCAGCGGTCATATACACGGAGACTGGGTGCACACGCCCAGGCCCGAGTGTGGCCTTGCGGACTCGCTCAGCTGGTTGATGGACAACAACAGCGCCGAGTCATGGCAGCTAGTAAGGCTGCTTGTAACAATACATCTAAACTGATTCTCCTAGTCCGCCTGATGTAAAAAGCTGCCCGTGCTTTGCAAACGTGACTTTGTTGTGCCGTACTGTGTTTGTATCTTCATGTGTCACGGTTATGTTATGAAGACATGTTCTCCTTGTTTTGTCCTCAAAGGATGTCAAATAAATATGATGATGATGATGATATGATGGACTAAAATGCGTGAAAATCATTTTGCAATTGTTAGCTGTTTTCTGCAGCTGAACGTCTGCCAGTGCTGCCGTATCCAGTTCACGGCATTTATAAGATTGAGCCCTGGGCTCAATCTGATAAAGTTCGCTATTTAGACGATAAAAGGTCCGCCTCTATTACATTCCCCTATTACATTTTTGCTAAGTCTCCCTTAGTTTGGGAATTCGTCGAAATCTCAGTTGTTTTAAAAGGGAAACAGCTAAATACCTCGCATTGCATTAATGCGTGATAATTGATCCCTGCTTCATTCATATCGCAGGGAAATAACTAAGTTGCGATTCGTTTTACCCGAGATTGTAGAATTGTAGTAGAACAATTCTACTAGAACCTGGCCTTGTAAGGTGACAGGAGTTAAATGCAGTTTAAATCGACAAGGAGGCATAACGAGTCATTGCAGCTTATTACAATTTGTACTTTAAGCTAAGCACCACTTGGAATTCTAAATCTGCAGTCTTTAACATGGATCGGCTTTCGCACCAACACAATTTTTATCATTGAATACCTAAGGTACATAGTTGGTTCAAGGGCAGGGAAAGTGATACACTATCCAATATCCATACGGTTTAGTGAATGATAGACATTGCGTGGTTATCAAATGATCATTTCGTGATGATGTATGCCACGAATATTATAGTCCAAACTTCCATTAGGCCTAGCCGCTCGGCTGTCCCCAGCGTCATTATGGCTCAATATCGACCGGGCATTGACGGCCCCTCCCTCCCCTGAGCCGCGGCCCGCCGCCGGCTCCCGTCTCATTAGGAAAATGGCGGAGGGAGGGACGCACCCTGGCAGGGAGGGCCGCCACCTGCCCCGGCCGGCCGCCGCGCAGGCACCCAGCACCGGACCGGACCCGGCGCCGGCCGCCGGGCGCTCGCGGCCGCCGGTGCTGGCTGGCCTTCTGGGCCGCGCTGAATAGGCGGTCCATAAATCAGGACCGGCGGCCGTGTAATCAAGACCGGCGGCCGCGATAGAACGCCGACCACTCATGCAATCGGAGGAGAGCCGGCCGCCGCCGGCCGAGGACCGGACCGCGGCACGACACTCGTTATCGTAAAACCTTGCCGAACAATATCCTTGCAGAATGTGCACTGCAATGCTACAACAAATCCCATGTAACACATCGAACTTATCCTTAATTGTGACATCGTACTTAGTTGACGTCACTACGACTTCAAAGGTGAATTCTGTCATTAGCCTTGTTTATTTAGCTCCTAATGAGGCTCGAGACCCCTCGCGTGACGCGGTGGAATGCGGAGTGACGTGGTACTGTGGACGACCTCATGCAGGTCCATGGGAAGGCCGCGTCGCGTCGTGCCGCAAGAAACATGGACGTGACGCGTCCCAGCGCACCGGCCGCGGCTGGCGGCTGGCGGGCGGCTGGCGGCGGTGGCGACTGGCGGGAGCGAGCGGCGGCGGCGGCGGCGGCAGCGCGCGGCGGTGGCGGCGGCCGGCGGGCTCAGTCGACTGCCGGCGGCGGCACGAGGAGGACGGGTCCGTGCTGCACCCGGGACGCTGCACAGCATTTGCTCGGCTGCAACGGAAGAGTATTGGAGGAGCGGTGGAGTGGTTTGAGTAAATTAATAGCGTCACGGCGGTGATCGCTCTCAAGAGACGAAGGATTTCGACCCAACCAGTGGAAAATACCAACGTGTGCTCGTGTGTCACAGTGTGTGTGCAGCTGTCAGCAGGCAGCGAGTGGCTCTCCAGCCACCAGTCCCTGCTGTGAGTGCCAGTGATACGGGCGGTGCACCAGTCGAGCCCGTGGTGGTGACACAACGTGTCAAGCCGTGTCGTTGTGTTAGTGACACGGTGTCAGAGTGTCTGCTGGTGCCCCGTGAGTGCCCGGTGTGAGTGCACGCAGCCGGAGGAGCGTCTCCCGTCTCTGTACCGTCTCCGTACCGTCTCTCCGACCGGGCGTCTCTCTCGACACGTGGACGACACCAGGGAGCCACTTCCGTCGGCCGGCTCGGTCTCTCAGCCGACAGCGGTCCTGCCGACCGGTCATCGATTCCAGCCGCCCCCAGACGGGTGAGTACGGTCTACAGTGACGTCACCGTGGTAAGAGGTCAGTATCTGCTGCCGAATGCTTACAGGTCAGTATCTGTAGCGGAATTCTTACAGGCCAGTATATGGAGCCGAATACTTACAGGTCAGTATCCGCAGCCGAGTGCTTACAGTTCAGTATCTGCAGCGGAATTCTTACAGGCTAATACACGGTGCCGAATACTTACAGGTCAGTATCTGCTGCCGAATGCTTACAGGTCCAGTATCTGCAGCGGAATTGTTACAGGAAAGTATAGCTGCACTCTGCAGCATAATGCTTCCAAATCAGTCTAAAGGGTGAGTTTATGGTGAAGACTACTTACAGGTCAGTATTTTGCCAGCGCAAAGCAGCGAGAAACAACGAGCAGTGTTCGTCAAGAGGCAGTGGGTGGGAGAAGATAAGGGGTAGATAAAAAGAAGACATCCTGTTTCCTGCCGTTGGCTTCACTCGGACGGCACAGGGTAAAATGAAGACTGAAGAGTCGTGTTGACTGTTCAGTGTGCGTTGTGCAATGTTCATGTGACGTGAATTCAGAGGGACGAGAAAGAACCGGCAGCAGCAGCTAGTAAAAATAAAGCCAAAGACGAAAGACCATGTGACAGACAGAGACAAATCCATGAGATTGTGACCATTAGCAGCCCGCTAAGCTGTGTTATCTGACGAACAGCGGCCAGTTTGTACATTGCTTCACTGTAACGCAGTGCTTAAAGTTGAAGTGAACAATGCTGTTTTGAAATACCGTCTACTGAACACCTGCTTAGACATTGAACATCTGTTTGCCTTCGCGGTAAAGCGTTGACTTTGAACATCGCCATTTTTAGACGTTATCGCGAACTGTGGTCAACCATTACATGTCAAAGGAAAAAGATAAAAGGTTGCAGGAACATACAACATGGAAATACCGCTACATTATAAGACATACACTGGCTATTCTGGACTAAATAACAACGTCTTCTAACGATGCTAAGACCACATGGATGACACACACGCACAACATGCAACTAGTTATAGCTACAACTAGTTAGCCGCAGTCCAGTTGAGCAATTGGAAGCATCCAAAGACCCGAAACATGTCTACCATCGCACTGAACAGCTTGCATCAGCCCTCACACTTGTCCACACATCGAAACGTTTTTTTTTTTTGCCGTGCGGCTGCAGTCTGCACCGGTAACACCACCTCCCCATCGAACTGTGTTTGTCGGCACGTACGGAGCGGTCTCGACACTGGCACGACCTTGCAGTCTGTCGGCGTGTCACGTTCGCTACTATCGAGTGACGCGCCGAGCCCGGCACGCCGCTGGTCGTAGCCGGACCGTGCTCGGTCCGCTGCCGGTCGTAGTCGTGCCGTGCTGCTCCGTCGCCAGCCGTAGACGGGCCATGCCCGGTCCGTAGCTGAGCCGTTCCCACTCCGCCCGTGTCTGCCGTAGCTGAGCTGTGCTCGGTCTGTCGCTAGCTGAGCTGTGGATGAAGACGAGCCGTGCCCGCTCCGCCGTCGGCCGTATTTGAGCCGTACCCGGTCTGCCGCGGTCGGTCGTAGCTGAGCCGTTCCCGTTCCACCGCCGATTTTACCCGAGCCGCACACTGCCGCTGGCTGCAAACGAGCCGTACCGGGCTGCCAGCCGTACCCGAGCCGCACACTGCCTCTCTGCAGCGCACGGCCTCGCACGGTCTCTATTGCAGACTGGGTGCACGAACAAAACTATGAAGAGAGATTTCGTTTCCGAAACTGTTCTTACGCAGTTTAAATGAACTTCTTACGAACCTCACCCTTTTAGCCCGTATGCCTTGGACCCGCTGTAGATAAACGGAAAACAGACTCGCGCATCACGTGAAGACGGCGGTGCACCACCACAGCACCACCGTGGCTCTGCCACTTCGCCTTCCTGTTCATTTCCTCTCTCCTATCCGTATCATCGCATCCTGTCATTACGTCCTTCCCTTCCTCTCTTCCTCTGGCCGTATATTTCCTTATCTCCCCCGCCAGCACATGGGTGCGCCCTTGGGAAACCTGACCACATCCCCGAGTAGAGATACCATACCCTCCCCTTCTCCCTCCTTCGTATAACATTCATGGTATGCTAGGATTTCCAACACTGCCTTCAAAGCTCGCAAGCTATGTCGCCGAGAAAACTTTTTTATAGCAACGCCACTACCGTCACCGCCGCCGCCACCTCCCTTGCCGCCGCCCAGCGGTTCCTCACCGCCGCCGCCGCCGCCGCCGCCGCCCAGCGGTCCCTCGCCGCCAGCGACGGCGGCGCGTGCGTGGGTGGAGACCGTCACGCACAATGACTGGCCTCGTCCTCGGTCGGCACGCACTACCCAGTGGAATGACCGGCAGGCGAGGTCCACTCCTCTCCTCTCTCCTCAGTCCTCGGTGCTCCACACTCTTCCCAGTGTCATCGGTGAATGGATGACGGAGGTCGAGGGCTGGACCTCGTTTCACCAGATGGAAAGTGGTCTTGTTACGAGCTTCATCGTTCTTCATAGAGGAACGTGGCATTGTAAAGCGATCATCAAGAAGTTTCAATTGCGGTGTTTTTCTTTTATAATGAAAAGTAGGTATTTATATGATGACATCGTGACATAACTTGCGCTGTAACTTGTCAAACCTTCGAATATACCTACTTCCTCTTTCTAAAAAACAGATAAGTTGGCTCTTTTCAACGTTAAAAAAGCAGTACTTTCCATAGGGGAAGTTGGGGCAATGCCGGAGTTGGGGCAAAGCCGAAATTCGAGATATTTCTTAACCCACGAGCCGCTGGGGGGGGGGGGCATTAAGTTGCCCCCCCCTTTACGTTTTGTGAAATATCTCCGAAAGCTGATAAGTTTCGAACGTGAAACTTGGCATAGCTTCAAATGAATACCTAGGCAATGTTTGAGGAAAGTTTTGTGGTTGTAGCACCTAAGATGACGTCACAGTGACGTCATAAAGTTTTGTCGTTTTCCGATATAGACCGTTTCTGATGACGCTGAGCATGAAACTCGACTGTAAATGAACTAGACAGCACCTGCTGTCATCCTAAAACATCTAACTACACTTCCATCTTGTTTCTGACCAATAATCGGCCCTTTATATTCGGTCCCATATATCTGATGTATCGTGAGGAATATGAGAGTCGCAAATCTATAATTTCACTTATGACGTCACTGTGACGTCATTTCAAATGAGATCGACACCAAATTTGGACACAACCTCGGCTAGGTATTCAGAAAGATGTGTGCAAAGTTTCGTTTCGCTATCTCTTCGCGTTTAGACGATATCGTCGCAGAAGTAAAGGGGGGGCAACTATATGCCCCCCCCCCCCCCCCAGCGGCCGGCGGGTGGCGCGGAGGCCCAGCGGCCGCCGGGTTAAACTGTACGACATGGATGCCACGTCTCAGTGATGCTCTGAAGCTTAAGTGACTACAATTATCGCTTGTTTGTTACGAGTCGTCATTTGGAATACTTCGGCTGTGAGGGCGCCAAAAGCGTTTTCAAGGTACGTTTCCCTTGTACTATATACGCCTTTGAAGCTGCATTTCTTACTCATTATGCTACCGTTTGTCTGGCCAATTCGGTCAAGTAATCTTCAGCATGTCTTTGCATAAGTGTGTTGCCTATTTGAAATTTATACAGCACGTTTAAAAGTTATGGGCCTGCAAATGAAAGCATGGCTGGCTGGGGTAATGCCGAAAACGTGCAATTACGCACGTTAAAGCACGCTACGTGGACTTTACTGCTGTAGAATAGCAACGCGTATTTTTAGTCAAACAAATTACACTTTCAGCCGGCACAACGGCCTGCTACCTATAAGGAATGATTTACCTGGCATTTTCTTATTATATCACACAATTATAACTTCCAGTGTGCACCAAGCGTCCTCAAGCTCTTAAAACGCGTGTCAGCTTTAATGAATTTTGGATAAAGTTTGAGATAAATTGGCAAAACATCAATGTCGGCATTCCTCGTAGATCATTTATCCCATTTTCGGCTTTCCCGGCAGTCCGGGGCAACGCCGAAAAAGTCAGTTCTTTGATATTTTTAGTTTTTTCGCTTAACGGTATGCGAATTCATCAAATGCGCCTGGTATGTTTGAAAGACAAAAGACTGGCCTCTCGAATGACGCCAACAAGAATAGCTTATGTTGTCTACCTTGCGTGCTACGGGCGTCAGAAAAAAAGTATTCGGCGTTCCCCCAACTTCCCCTAAAGCTCAGACTCTTGGGAATCAGCATATCCCTTATGGCTTGAGATCCGCTGAAGTAACAGCATCCCCAGGAATTATGCGTGGTCCGATACAACATTGGTCCGTCAGCGCCCTGCGGATTAAATCGAGGCGCAATTTGTGGAGTCCGGCTTCCCATGACGTCACTAACCCCCCCCATGACGTCACCGGTCGGCTCGTGTTTCAGCGTCGCATTTTGTCGCCGCCGAAATGGCGTGCGCCGTCCGGGCTCACTAATTTGTACGAATCCAGTGACTCGTTGAAACCCCACGACGCGCAACGCGACGCCGGTTTTTGTCAGGTCGCTTGTTATTGTCACATGTCCATGGCTAAACCCGAGACAATTGCCGGAAAAAATAGTTTAAAGCTGACAATAAGTGGCAAGGAGGCCACGCTTGCCTCCTTGTCATGAAACACTGCTGGATTTATCGCATACTTGACAAAAAATCAAGCTTTATTGTATTGCTGTTGCCATTAAATTGACATTTCTCCAACTTTGCAAAGTCTTGTAAAGTCTTGCCCCAACTTTGCAATGCTATTTCGCTTTCAATCTTTCTTTACGGATGAAATTACACTCCAAGCATGGCGACTGTTTATCAGTCTATTTCGGTCACACCGGGAAGTGTTCCATCGTAGCCGCCCGTCCGGTCCGTCCCACGACATCCGCCTCCCCCGCCCCCCGCCCCCGCGTACTCGTCGGCAAAACACGGTAGCGGACAGCGCGGCGGTGCGGCGGCACGCGCCCTACAACAGCCCGCTGACGTCATTGCCGGAGCTGTGA